ATGTTGAAATTAGCCTGTGACCTCATCATAAATGCTCTACAATATCAAATCAAACAAGAATCAACAAGCAAATAGCTTAATTGTACTATGAAGACATATTTTTTTAAAATCTAATCAGCCTCCGCTGTTTTGGGTCAAGTTTGAACTTTTGAGCATTTTAATCCAGGTCTTGTGAGCCTTTTTTAGAAAAAAAAAAACTCTGTAACTTTTTATAGAAAGGCGCTTCGCAGATGTGGAAAATAGATTCAAAATTAATCTTTTAAACAGCATGTAATGATATGTATTTTTGAATCACCACTTCGACCAAGTATCCTTTCCTTGTAAGTTCGATCACCATTAAACGATAAGTGTGAATGCAGAAATTATCTTATGTCAACCGAAGATCAAAGGCATTATGCTTAATAAATAGCCTTGCTATGAGCACGATGCAATTACACAAGGCCTACCAAAAATATTATATTGGATTTGATTAAAAGATTCAGGCATAGGGATATTTAAGGTCGCAAATCCCATTCCGCTCGATCACACGTCCTGCTTCAAAAATTAATATATAAAGTACAATGCGCAAGGTTTGAGATGTGATTGGTAACATTTAAAAAAAAAGAAAAAACATAGAACTCCGCCCACCTACAAATGGTACTCCCGACACAGACAATGAAAGAAGCATAGGAGCTGCTTTCGCTAGATGTGACCACTCAGCTGTATTGTCTCCAGTCCATATTGCTGTTGTACGCTGGCTACCTACGAAGCCAGACCTGAAAATAGATAGCACTAAATTTTCTATTTTGGCTATTTTTATTTGAGCAATGTCCAAGGACTTACCTAGTCAAAACAAATGGGCGATCCTTTCCCCCAGTTCGATCCAACTGTCCTTTGAAGGTTGAACTATGTTGCAAGAAACCGTAAATATTGTGAATCTAAAATCAATTTCATGCTCTATAAAATCCTTGACAGTTTGCGGAGACTACCTCTCGATGCTCAACACCACCATAATGAAGACAATTTTTGTCCATAGTCACTTCCGGACCGCTGAACACCTAAGAAATTATCAGTTACAATTAAGACACTCCTTATCAACTCGATATGATTACGTTCAAAAAGATCAAAATCCACTGTTTCTTATGTTAAATCAAAGAACTAACTGAAGGTTCGTTCATGTCATTCCATGTGAACAGCTGAGAGGTCGATCCTACATACCGATCAAACGCGAATTGCGCCGCCCAATATTTTCGTACCTGAATGTAAGATATATTACATTGCTAAGATAAACTTAATTTTTAAGAAAACATTGATACTTAAGATAATAGAAAGTAGGACGAAAAAAATATATTTAAGACATAAAAATCCCTCTCTTGTTCCCGCAGTAATGAATGGAAGCAAATCAGTGCAAACATGTTGTAGCCGATCCAGGAGATAACTGCCCACCTCACGAAATAGTATGATGTACAGCATGCACTGTCTATTCTCATAACATCAACCAACTATGTTGCAGCAGTTTTCTTCAATATCGTTGAGGAAATCAAGTACCATCTGCTGATTTGTTTGGTAATG